ATAAAGAAAATTTACTGCTTTTAAAAATTGTAAGCTTATTTACTTTCAAATTGCAATAATAAATTATTTAATAAATAATATTAATTTATTAAAGTTCTAAAATTTTTATTAAAAATTATAAAGAATTTTATATATATATATATTATAAAATTAAATTATAATTTTCAGTTGATATTGCTATATTGATCTATGTAGAGCTCCGAATGGTTCCAGTTTGAACCGGGAACCGATCCGAAACTGACCAAAAATTCGGTTCGGTTCTCGGTTCAGTTTTGGAACTGGAACCGTTCGGTTCGGTTCGGTTCTATTTTATTTTAAGAAAAAATGCGAAAATCGATATAACTCGGCAACTAGTGATCGTATAAAGACGTACAATAGCTCATTAGAATCGTCTCATCGAGACGCGTCGAATGGTGGTAAGATCATCTCTCTAGCGTCGATATATCACGAGATAATCAATGCTCAACATTTTTTATAAAACTAGCGATAGAATCATATCTATTGATCCTAGAGACATGATCTTGGTATCATTCGATAGGTCTTAATGAGATGAATCTAATGAGCCTTTTTATCATTTTTTATGATCACTACATAACGAGTTATCTTAATTTTCGCATTTTTTTAAATTTTCGAACGTCAAAAAATAAAAATTCCGATCTAAGATATAACCCATCATCTACTGATTGTATTAGAACAATCTTTAGCTCATTAGAACCGTCTCATCGAGATGAGTTGAATGACGTAAGATCATGTCTCTAGTATCGGTATATCATGAGATAAATCATGCTAAACAATTTAGAAAATCAGTATTAGAAAGGTATCTATCGATGCTAGAGACATGATCTTACTGTCATTCAACTCGTCTCGATGAGACGGTTCTAATGAGCTAAAGATTGTTCTAATACAATCAGTAGATAATGGGTTATATCTTAGATCGGAATTTTTATTTTTTGACGTTCGAAAATTTAAAAAATGCGAAAATTAAGATAACTCGTTATGTAATGATCATAAAAAAATGAAAAAAGGCTTATTAGATTCGTCTCATTAAGACCTATCGAATGATGCCAAGTTCATGTCTCTAGGATCAATAGATACGATTCTATCGCTAGTTTTATAAAAAATGTTTAGCGTTGATTATCTCGTGATATATCGACGCTAGAGCGATGATCTTACCACCATTCGACGCGTCTCTATGAGACGATTCTAATGAGCTATTGTACGTCTTTATACGATCACTAGTTGCTGAGTTATTTCGATTTTCGCATTTTTTTTAAAAATCGGATAGAACTGAACCGAACTGGATGGTTCCGGTTCGGTTTTCATTCGGTTTCGGTTCCAACCCGAACCGGAAAAAAACTGCACCGAACCGACCCATTCAGAGCTTTAGATCTATGTCAATTATATTAGTAAAATGGATAGAATTCATTGAATTAGTTTCAGAAAAATGGAATGTCAGTGAAATAGCAAGTTGGTAAAGAAAAATCAGTAAATTTTATGTTACTAATATCAGTAAAACAGGTGTCGGTAAAATGGGTGAATACGTAATTATATTAGTATTAATCAGTTTTTAAAAAAATAGTGCAAAATATTTTTTTTTTAATATAATATTACAAAAAAAATGTTTTTATTAAAATATTGAAATATAGTCTATATACTATCTATATAATGAAAAAAAACTGTTATATTTAGATTACTTGTATAAATAAATTTGAATTGTGTAATATTACTCTATTAGTATTTTATCACATAATATTTTACAAATATTTAAAAAAGAAAATTTTACTTTTCACAAAAATAAGGAATTTTAGTTTTACAAATATTTTTAAAAAAAAAAATTTTTACATTAATTATAATTCCAGCCAAAATTAAAATATTACTAAAACTGTTCTATTTAGCACTTTGTTATATGATATTATACAAATATTCAAAAAGAAATTTTTACTCTTATAATAAGAATGCCAGACTTTAATTTTACAAATATCTTAAAAAAAGAAATTTTATACTAATTATATAATTCTAACTAAGATTAAAAATATTATCACTTTTGCAAAGTAACAGATCATAATTAATAATATTATAAAAACAATATTTTTTATTAAGCAAAATATTTTTTTAATATAATATTATACCAATCAAAAAATATTAAATCAGAAATTTATCAGGAAAATCCAGTAATTCAAATTCTATTTAGTTGATCTTTATTTTTTTAATTTTCATCAATCAGGAAATCTGATTGCTATTAAAAAAAGAGAACATCTAGTTTTCAATTAAAATATTCAAATAGAATACAATTAGGTATTAATAATTACTAATACCGTATAGCGCTGCATACAGTACCCTCTTGTAATAGTATACCCTTCAAATAGTATTAGGGTATTATTCAAATTTACATTCGGGTATTTTTGAAAAATACCCCAGTACTAATCAAAATTCAATTTTAAATAGTACCCCAGATACTAATTATATCCTGACTTGAAAAACTAATCTAATTGTAATAAAATCAAATGTACTACCTTCCAATATATCCCTTTTAATAGTACCCTCCTCCTCCTATAGTATCCCTCTGGATATTATTCAATCTAAGCAGACTTTCTTAAATAGTACCAGAGGTACTATATGTAGCACTATATGGTAAGTATTTACTATTAGATATATTAGTAGTGTTGCTGCCTGAAATTTATTTAACCATAAAATTTAAAATCTGAAACTCAAAAACTTTATTTTTAATGAAAAAATTGGTAAATCTGAAATTTTTCTAAATTATAATTAGTTTCAAAAAAATATAAAAACAGTTTAGGCAATTAATTTTATTATAAAAATAGTTTCAAATTGAATTTTGACTAAACTAAAATTTTAAAAAAATAATTTTAGCAAGCATCTTTATAATAAATAAAAGTTATTGCATCAAATAATTTTTTTTTTATTAAATTTAAAAGTACAGTCAGCTCTTGATATACGTCTGGGCTGATTAGCCCTTTGTTATGAGAAAATTCGCTAATGCTATAACGAATTATTCGGTATAGCGGAAAAATTTGGTATAATGCGGTAAAATATAGAAAAATCAAATACATTTGTAAAATGTCAGATCATGGAGGCAAAGAAATTTCAAAGCATAAATCATTCATCTTTTGATAAATGAACTAAAATGGTAAAATTGCTTATTTGAGAAAAATTTCATGAAAACAACATCAAATTATCTATTATATTAAAATTTATCTTGCAAAAATCTTCGTTATATTAAAAAAAAATTGGTTTAAAAGAAATTCATTATAAAAAGAGTCATTTACATATGTAAAATCATAAATTTTTCTTCGTTTAACATTATAATACATTTTATTAGTAAAATTCAGTATAATAAATTTTTTTTCATATGACTAAATGTGTACCACACTAAAGATTTGTTATATCATAAAATTCATTATATCAAAATTCGCTATAGAAAGGGCTGACTGTATATTTTATTCAATATACAGTATTTTAAATTGCTAATAATTAAACATATTAATGATTTATATTATTTTTTAGAGTTTATAGTTTATTTTTTAAAAAAAAACGTGCTGACATTTTGCTACTTTATTTCTTTTAATATTAATCACATTGCTTAATTAAAGTATTTAACACATTAATGATTAATGCATTTCAGTTTTTAATTTCTTAAAGTTTAAAATATTTTCTTTTAACTTATTATTTATATTAAAAAAAAGAAACATTTTTTTAATATTGCCTGTTTTTTTTAAATTCTTAGTATAACAGTTTTGATAGATAATTAATAGACATTTATAATACAAGTCAATTTAAAAAGAGTAATTTCAAGAGTAAAAAATTTAATTTGGAATTGCAAAAAATTCCTAAGAATTGGAATTTTTTTTTGGAAAAAATACATAATTGTTATTTATATATATATTTCATAATTTATTACTTTGTAGATATAAAAATATTTGTTTATTAGTACAGTCAAACCTTGACATAGCGAACCCTTGATATAGTGAATTTTTCAGACAACTATAATAAATTTCCCCTTGCTATAACGAATTAACCAATCAAATCTCTTAAAATCTTCACTATAGCCCTATAGCGAAGTTAAAGTCTGGAACCTAGGGTTCGTTATAACAAGGGTTGACTGTATTTATTTTTTTACTTCTTTTTTTTTGCAAGGTAATGCAATTTGTGAGTTTATTAATTATATATAAAAATATAAAAGTACTTGTTATATAACTAATTTATTAAAACTTTAAACCAATTTTCCATTCATAAAATTGCTTCTATACCCTATTAATGAATAAATAGCATGGCAATAGTTTATTTATCTAATCCTTAAAATACTTATTTATTATTGGATAGTTAACATTTAAATTTTCTGTAAATTTGATTAAATTAGTATTTGCTAACTATTTATATATTTAAATTAATTTATATTTATAAATTTGTATTGCTCAAATATTTTAGTTATAATCTTAATTTAATATACATTGATTAAATGTTTAACAAATTTACAATTCAAGTAAAAGTTATAATTTCAAAAATTATGAAATGCTACTGAAATATATTCTATTAGTTATATTTTGCTAAACTTTTGCAAATTTTTTTAACTTTGTTTTAAAACTAATTATTTTATTTTCTAATTATTCAATTTCATTTGTATTTATAATTTAACAATTAACTGCTTTTTTAAACTGCTTTTTATTCTTTTTAATTTTAATTTACCTAGTTTAATAGCTAAAACTTCATTTATATTAACCAATTTTTTAATCAATTTTTCAGATAAATTTCTGTGTAGCATTTTTTCTCAGCATAAAAAAGAAAATATCTAATATTTAAGTAAAAATAGAATGCTATAATTAATATTAATATTATTAGTAAAATCTTATTACCATTTAATCTATTTTAATTAAAGTTTTCAATAAACTAATCATCAGATTCTAATTATTAAATATTGAAATATCCTTAAAATACTTTTATTAAATTTTAATAATTGTAAATAATTATTTAACCTATACAAATAAAAAAAAAATAATAATTATTTCAATTATTTTGACTTCTGGAAGGCTAAAGTCAAATTAATTTTAACTATTTCAACCATTTTAAAGGTCAAGATTAATCTAATTTTGGTTTCATATATATAGCATTTTATTACAGAATTAGTTTTGCTTAATTCTTTTTTTTTATTAAAGTAGTAGTTTCTTATTAGATTAGGCTTTACCTGCTTATTAGTCCTTTTATTATTATTTGTAATACTTTTATATATATTAATATTTAATAGTTGCATATACAACTCTTTTGTATATATAATAAAGCATTACAAATATTATTAGTACAAGAAAAAAAAAATGCAAATATGTTTTAGTAAAACAAAAGGAAATTATTACAATAATTCAAATTTACTTTTATATATTATATCAATTAAATTAAAAAAATGAAAAAAATATTATTTTTTTTGTGTTGCAAATAATTTTATTGCAATTGGATTTTACATTTTTACTTGTACAGTATTTATTGTATTGAAAATTATTTTTTTATTACGTATGGTAAATACAATTTTAAAATAAGGTTGGCCAGTTTAAATGATAAATTTAAGCCAATTGGCACTTGCAAGAAAAACAAGAATTAGTGACGTTTCTGTGACGTCATTTATGGTTTCTCAGTGAACATCAAAATATCGTACATGACAAACTGATGTGCCATCAAAAAAAATTCCGAAGTCTCTTTTATCAGTAACAATTTTGATATAAAGTCTCTATCACTTTTTTATTAGAACATTTTTGCATAACTTGTTTTACTAGTTGCTAGAGTGCGTGCGATCTACGTCGATTGACCGAAGTAAAGAACATTGTTAAAAATTTCTCAGCGTTCTTTGAATTCGATCTAAAAGCTTAAATTCCCTTATGATGAATGACTTGATACCTTTGGTCAATAAGCTCCAAGACGTTTTTAGCACGATTGGCAGTGATACTGTAGATCTTCCTCAAATCATTGTCGTTGGATCACAGTCGTCCGGAAAATCTTCAGTACTTGAGAACATTGTACAGCGAGATTTCTTACCTCGCGGTAATGGAATTGTTACTCGACGACCTTTAGTTCTTCAGCTTATTAATATTCAAAACACCGAAGAAGAGTATGGGGAATTTTTACATGCTCCAGATCAAAAATTTACTGATTTTGGTGAAATTAGGAGAGAAATCGAAACAGAAACTGCTAGAGTTGCTGGTCAAAATAAGGGAATATCAAGATCTCCAATTAATTTGAAAATTTATTCGCCTAATGTTCTTAATTTAACTTTGGTCGATCTTCCGGGATTAACAAAGGTTCAATATCGTTGCATGCAAAATTATATTTCTTGATATGAACTATTTTATCATTAATTTTTATATATTCTGCCATTATTCATGTAAACCTAGATTCCAATTGGTAATGTTTTCTTTCCTTTCCTTTCCTTTTCTTTTATTTAATGTTTTCAATTTTCCATTTCATAATATATTAGATGTTAAAATAATAATTTCTTTACTAGGTGACCAACCTACGGATATTGAAAAACAAACAAGAAGTTTAATCTATGAGTATATATCTAAACCGAATAGGTATGTTTTTAAGTTTCACAATAACTTTATGTTTTGACCGTTTATTTCAAATTTTTCTAATCACTTCTTTATTACTTTGATACTCAAAATTATATAGTATAATTTTAGCTGTCAGTCCGGCTAACGTTGATTTAGTAAATTCGGAAAGTTTAAAACTCGCAAAGCAAGTTGACCCGGAAGGTATTTTAATTCTCAATATAATCCTAAAACACGAATCTTTCTTTTATAGCCAATTATGAAAATATTAAAATCAATGTATTCGTTCCGATGTAGGAAAACGAACTATCGGAGTCTTAACAAAATTAGATCTTATGGACGCTGGTACAAATGCATTAGAAATTCTTACTGGCCGTGTTGTCCCTTTAAAGTTAGGTTTCATTGGAGTCGTTAATCGTAGTCAGCAAGATATTGTTGGTAACAAACCGATGGTTGAAGCATTGAAGGCCGAAGCTGAGTTTTTCAAACATCATCCAGCTTATAAAAACATTGCCTCGCGGTGTGGTACCCCATTCTTGGCTAAAACATTAAATAACGTAAAAAAGCTTTTTTTACCTTACTTGCTGTAAACTTTTAAATATGTATATAATTTTTTTTTTAAAAAATAAAAAAAGATTCTCATGAATCATATACGGGAACGATTACCAGATATGAAGACTCGAATTAATTCTCTAATCACACAAACTTCACAAGAACTTTTGTCATATGGAGACCCAACACTCGAAGGAAAATCAAATAGGGTAAGATAACTTTTTTAATAGTATATTATATACATTTCTTTCTATAAAAAAAACAAAACTTCAGCATACAATTTAACACAAAAAAAAATATCCTTTAAATAGGGTGCGTTGGTATTGAAGCTTCTTACCAAATTTGCGAATGATTTCGTTTCATCAATTGATGGAACCGCATCAGATATTTCTACTAAAGAATTGTATCCTTTTTCCTTGTAAAATGATCGATATTATTATTTCATTAGAAAAAAAACATATTTTATTCTTAATAGGACTTTTAATAGATGTGGCGGTGCTCGAATATATTATATTTTCAATAACGTATTTGGCGCAGCATTGGACTCAATTGCGCCTTGTGGGAATCTTACAACACAAGATATTCGAACAGCAATCCGTAATTCGACCGGTCCGCGTCCTTTTTTATTTGTCCCGGAAATTGCATTTGATCTTTTAGTCAAGCCTCAAATTCGGTTACTTGAACCACCCAGTTTGAGATGTGTTGAACTCGTATATGAAGAGTTATTGAAAATCTGTCATGGATGTGGAAGTCCGGTATGATTTATGAATAATTTTGGGCTAATATATATACGCACATACATATATAAATATTCTAGTTCGAATAATTTTAGGAATTGAGTCGTTATCCACGTTTGCAAGCTAGACTTCTTGAGGTCGTTTCAGATTTACTTCGTGAACAACAAGGCCCTACTTCCTCGTATGTTGAAAGTTTAATTAGCATTCAACGTGCTTATATAAATACCAATCATCCAGATTTTATTGGCGGTGGTGGTGCTATATCAGATCTTGTTAAGAAGAATGAAAAGAAGAGAAGAGAATTCGAAAAACTCAATAGAAGAGTAGGATAAATCAAATTTCATTTAGATATAATGTTAATCAAGATTATTAAATGTTATCTAAAATTTTATAGGCAAACAATTTTAGCAATAGTAGTATACATGCATCCGTAAATGGTATAAATAAAGATGAAATACATGATGGGTCATCAATTTCGGATAAAGAATCTAGCGGGACTAGAGATATGATTAGTCTACAAAATGGAATGAACTCTTCTTCATGGGCCCAACGCGAGTCATTTTTAACGTATTTCTTTGGAAGTGGAAATAAAACAGATAGAACTATTTTGCCTGATCAACCAGTACCAAGCAGAAATGGAAATTTTTCTAGAGATATTGAAGATTTAGATAAGCTAGAAAATGTAAGAGTAATAACTATCTTGAAAGGGTTTGTCTTATTTGAGTATTTAACTTAAAAATATATTTTTTTCTTTTTAAAGATGTCTTTAAATGAAGATACTCTTCATCTCACCGAACGGGAAGAAATGGAAACTCAATTAATACGTAATTATATTTTAATACATTATTTTCCTTGTATTTAAGAAGAGCTCTTTGTATTAAAAATTCATCTATATAGGTTCTCTTATTACATCATATTTCAACATTGTGCGTAAAACTATTCAAGATATTGTTCCGAAGGCTATTATGCATCTTTTGGTCAATCATTCTCGTGAATCGGTTCAGAATAGATTAGTTTCAGAATTATATAAGGAGGAATTATTTGCCGATTTGTTACAAGAAGACGAGAATTTGGCTAGTGAAAGACAAAAATGCAAAACTATGCTAGATGTTTACAGAAAAGCATTTGAAGTTATTAATGAGGCAATGTGAACATGAATAAGTATAGAGGATTATGGTGGACTATTCAAAAAGAATTAAATATTGTTTTCTTTTTATTAGTTATTAAACAATACTAGAATTTTATATTATTATTATTATTTTTTTTAAACATACATCTTGTGTAAATTTCATATATATAAAAAGAAAACGTGTGATTTATTATATTGTTTTTATTTAAAACCTTTTTGGAATGCTTTGATTTATTTATAAATAAATAAATGTACTAAGTTTAAAAAGGTCAAATCCTATAAATTAAATCACCCATCCATCCAAAATTTGAACATTTATAAAATTTTAAATTTTTCTAATCAGAAAATTAAAAGCTTTACTATACTAAATGAATATAATAAATAAATAATTTTTTTTTTAAAAAAAAAAAAATAAAAATAAAATAAGCAAAATATTAAAATTCGTGCTTCTTTTGTTGGTAAACCTAAAATTTTGATATTAATAATTTTCAAAAATAAAAAGAAAAAATATACAATGAAATGTATCATTAAAGTTTTGCTAAATAAAAAAAAGAGATACCTTTACTCCCCCAAAGAAATTTATGATAATACAAAGGAAAAAAGAATGATAGTACACTACAAATAAGTAAGTTATTTTTAAAATTGCAGATAAAATATATGCACTATATAAAAAAATGGTGAATTGATGATTTTTTTTTTGCCGACGTTCTTTTGATGATAACCTATCTATTTTATATTGTTGACTATATGCGCTAATAAAAGGATGGTAATATATTAAATGATGAAAGAAGTAAAATAATATATATATTGTCCGGGTTTTATGTAAAATGAATAAAAAACTGAAGTTTATTATTGCAATAACTATGATTCCTTTAAACGAATTTGATGTTTTCCTTCTTTCAATAAATTCATTTGTAATCGTGTTTTTGAACCGTCGGGGCGCTGTATTACAACCTGGAATATAATAGATTATGTCTTCAGTTTATCAAAAAAAATAAATAAATTTAAATAAATAAAAAATAAAAGCAAATGTACCTCAGATTCTGTAGCAGTGACGAATTTCGCTGTATAGCGTCCCCCTGATGAATCACTAATAAGAACTTGGTCGCCTTTGGTGAACCATCGTCCAAAATATAGAAATTTATCTCCTTCAGCATATATGTCATTGTCCGCCTCAGAAAGGGATGTATTATTACAACTATCCAGAATTGGTGGTCCTGAAATGGTATTTATCTTAGGTGATAAAGATGAAGATAATGTAGCAACAGCTATGATTTATTCGATTACATAGCAATGTGTTGCGTATTTAAACAGTTAAGTATGATTTGAGGTGTACAATACTCTTGGTCAGATATTTAACATACCTTGCGCTTCATCCTCCCTTGCAATCTTGAATTTATATATTGTAATAAATTATTAGTATATTTCCTATTTATATATTAAATGGAATAAAAAAAGATCGAATTGTAATTACCCCTAATAATATTAAATCTTCGTCAATTTCGGACTTATCTAATGAATCTAACATTGAAGGTAAGTTTCAGTTAAGGACAAAAAAATATACACGTAATCTCTAATAAACACACCCGCGACCTATTTATAGGATCCTAATTCTGTGTGGAGAAGTCTATAATTTATTATTATTAATCAGAATTATGACCTACAAGATAGTCCGTTGGTGTATTTATGGAGTTAACATTAATTCAAAATTTAAGGATATCTGCTGGAAAGCCATACGCTTGCAAATACTTTAATTCTGCTACATTTGTTAATTTCTTACTCTTCCTATGCGCTAATTGATTATGGTCAGGTCCGGAGCACTCTATTTATAAACAAGATTGATTTATTTGAAGAATTATTCAACATGAAAGTAGGATATGTGAGATAAAAATTATGTTTTGAATATTAACCTATTCGGCCCAATACATCCAGACGATTTTTTTCTCTGATCATTTGCCATTTTCGACTTTCCATATCGTCTAGCTTTTTCCTTTTTGTTTCAAATTTGTCGGACTAAATAATTTTTTTTTTTAAAAAAAAAAAATTGGATAAGTAATCTTACTTTTATTATTATAAAGCTCATAGTACACTACCATGAATTCACATTCTGCCATATATTCAGCTTCTTCATATTGTTTCTGACAATGAATTACTTGATATCTCTTCCTCGATTCTGCAATTTCTAACCGTCTTTTCTTTTTTTGCTCAATTTCTTTCATACGGGAGATTAATTCATGGTGAGTTCCTTTTCAAAATCAAAAAAACAAAGGTTATTTATTGATAATCTCATCGAACGTAAATAAATTAAATATATTTTGAATATTTATTAATTTAAAACATTAAGACTACACCCTCACCTTGATTTATCATGTCGACTTCCTTTTCTAATTCTCCAATTTGTTCACGATAAAATCTAACACAAAAATACTTTTAATTTAAAGATAAAAAAGAGAAAATATAATAGTAAAATTCTTACTGGTCTCTCATCTGCGCAAATTCAATTTCTACTTTTTTCATATCACTCTGTACTTCGGCTCGAGGTTTTTCATTTTCGTCTGGCTCTGTAATGAAGTAACAAAACATAAATAAGTCTGAAGATTTAAGCACAGTAAGAATCACCGCAGCCTATTTCGAAGCTGCGCCGAAAATTTTCATGACGTCACAGTACTACGTTACATTGCGGGTAAGTTATTGGACAAATTTTTTTGTGAATTATGGATAGATCAAATCGACTTGAAAGATTAAAAAAAAAAAAAAAAAAAATATTGAATAAAGACAAATAATAAATAAAAAAAAAGAGGCATGCCTCCTGACTTATTATTTCCTATTGGCATGGAACCGTTTTCTTCATTCCCATTTTCAACTCTAGTGTCATAGCGTCGTTTTTTTCTAGCTCTATTATTATTTTCTGCATTTTCATTTATTGTGTGCACTTCATCTTCGGACGTAGTTGGAACTATGTGAGCCTTGGATTTGGTATCATCTTGTGGTGATTCTGATAGTGAACCCATTTCGGACGAATCATTGGGTGTTGAGAGCGTCATAGGACTATCAGACTTATCAATTGTTTTGGTGTCCGGAGAATCACCACTGACAGGTTGTGTTGTGTTTCCATTAGTTTCTTTAGTTGTGCCGTTTTGTACTTCTTCTTCAACATTATTTTTCCAAGAATTTGTTGCTTTAGGTTTAATACCATTCCTTTCGCTTTTTGTATGTTCTGACTTTTCGGAAACTGGAGGTTTCTTTACCTCCAACTCTATGTCCGAACTAATTTGGCTATTGGGAGTTTCCTTTTCGATTGAAAAGGTCGTTCCAGGTTTGAAAGGTTCTTGACTTTCGGTCTGTTTGTCAAATCTATTTTCAAGTGAACGACCCATTGATGTCGATTGCAGCATCAAGCTGGTAGATACTGGTATAGAAAAAAAAAAAAAATAAAAGCGGAAAGAAAGAAAGAGCCAAAGATTAAAATTATTAATTAAGTGATATTCCTGATATTATACAAGAATAAAGTGTTCAGTTTCTTGAGAAATAAAAAAGACCAATTTAGTAAAGAATACGGCCAAAACCAAATAATAATGAGGATGAATTTTGGAGAAGTGCCATAATATAACCCATTTGAATGACGTATGAAATTTTTTGAACACAATATGCAAGTTCAAAGCCACCCATTGAGGAGAAATTTGTACAATTTCACTGATCTTATGATACACAAGACTTTTGAATTTGATAAGCATTGCGACTAAAATGCAGTAACTCTAAATTATGCGGTCATCATTCTATTGGCCATGTGTAATCTACCAGATTGACAGTTTTTTATCCAGATCTGTTAATTTTTTTTCCATTGTTTAATAACTTCGAACTTTTTAGATCTAGATGTCGGATTACACTCCAGGTTCCCTGCAACACTATATACTTGGATCAAAATCCTCAGAACTTAATAGTGATCTCGACGCTTTGTTTAAAAACAGTGTAAGATTAAATTTTCTTAAATAGCTTTAAAAGTTGTACATAACCACTTTTATTTTTTATTAGGCTGGACCGGCCCAAATATCCAAAGAAGTATCTATTAATTTTATAGAAAATAAAGTCAAAAGTCTTAGTTTTGAAAATGTGGAGCCTGTTTCACGTAAAAAGAGTCATTCTTGGAAGAATGCCAACCACGGTTGTCGCCTTGAAGACGTGAACAATGTCTACGAGGAAGCATCTCATAATAAGAAATTGGAGTTTAAGAACAAACCCATTGAAGAAAATTATGAAATAAAGGTTATGAAAAAAGAAATGAAGACTTCATACGAAGTAAGTTTGATAATTTGATTCGGAATTTTCATGTTTGATATATATTTTACTCGAAATTTGATTTGTAAAAAATTTACATCGAAGAAAGTTTCTAGTGAAATAAATGAAGAAAATAATTTGAATTGCGAAAAACATCTTAAACGTAAACGTCCAGCAAGAGATTCGAAGTCTCATAAGAGAACTAAAGTTACAAAGGATATTACATCTGATGAATCTAACTCTGACAAGAAGATATGCAAGAAAAATATTATATTAGATGAAACAAAAATCTCGACAAAAGATTCAAAAACTATGAATATTGTGGATAATGGTCAACATAAAAATGAATTATCCAGTGTGATTAATAAAGATGATCCCGAACGCTTGCAAAGAACAATATTTGTTGGGAATTTACCAGTTTCGGTTATTCAAAAGGTATGTATTTTTTTTCAATGTATTATTTAGTTAATAATCATGTTATTAAGCATTATTTATATCATAGGTTAACCATAAAAAGTTAAAGACCATTTTTTCTCAATTCGGAAAAATCGAAAGTGTGCGATTTCGCTCAATTGTAAGTTTCGTATTTGAAAGTATTTCCATTTCTTATAAAGTTAAGAAGTAATTTCTTCTTATAGGCATTTTCCGAACTGCTTCCTCGTAAGCTTGCTTTTATCAAGGGCAAATTTCACCCTGAACGAGATGTTCTTAATGCATACATTGTATATAAAGAAAAATCATCCGTTCAACAAGCAATCGCTATGAATTCTCAAGTTTTTTTTGGGAAGCATCTACGCGTTGACTCTGTGGCTAATCCTCAAGTATGCCTTTTTTAGTTATCATAAATCATTTCTTCTATATATATTTTTTTATACATATATTAAAGGTATTTTTTAAAAAAATTTAGAATCATGACAGAAAAAGAACTGTGTTCATTGGCAGTTTGGCTTTTGATGCACAAGAGGAAGAATTGTGGTCATACTTTGAAAGTTGTGGGGAAATTGAAAATGTTAGAATTGTGAGGGATAGTAAAACTAATGTTGGAAAAGGATTTGCATATGTACAATTTAAGGCAAGTAAAACCTTCCTTTTTATTAACATATATTTTTATATTAATATTCATACAAATACAGGAACGTGTTTCTGTTGAGCTTGCACTCAAGTTAAATGATACAAAGCTTGGCACTCGAAAAATTCGAGTGATGAGATGTGAGAAGGGAAATCATGTTAATAGTAAATCAAAAATTGGAAAAGCTAAATTTGGAAAGGAGTTAATGGAAGGTGTTCGTGTGAATAGTAAATACAAACATAAAAAAGGTAAATCAATTCAAAAACATAATAGATTAGTAAAGAAAACATTTGAGGATACACGTACAAAAAAAGCTCGTTCAAGAACTCAGGCTTAAAAGAAAAATTCAAACTAAGGGGAATTGCTTATATTTGATAACAGATAATTATTATTTATCATTAGCGAAATAGATGTTTTCCGGATCAAACCAGGTATATCAAAATGGGTATTTATAAGTTTGAAATCTGCTATTAAGAAATCCAATCTGCGATTTTAATCTTTAGTTTCCTTAAATAGAGATCAATATATATTGCCACCTTTCTTTTGTTCATTATCTAATAGCAGAATTCAATCTTTTATTTCAATAAGTTATAAAGAATTTCTACAGTACAAATAATTACCGCAATGATTTCAATCTTATTTGAATAGATAATATATACATTAAAAATTAGTATAATTTTTGATATCAAAAATTGAGTGTCTTTTTTAAATTTAAGTATCTGCACAAAATTAATTTTTTTTATAGATTACGTAAAAAGCTTTTATAATAAAATGTTTAATGTCGTCGCTTTGCTCTAAATTCATCGTCGTCACGTGGAGTTTCTCCAGTAGTTCTTTTTCGTGATCTACAATTCAAAATATTATGTTTAGTATATAAGATAATAAGATAAATATCCAGAATGACTTACCCATCCCATCTTTCATCTTCTCTCCGTGTATATCCCTATAATAAAAGAAATTAGACCATGAAAAATGTATAGACATTACACAGTTTACATACATGTGATCTTTCAACACTTCCTGATGCACTCCTATCACCACCCCTTTCCTCATCACCCCTATCTGAACTTGGACTATTTACTGAAGAAGTATGAGTAGCAGGTCCAGTAGGCGGACGGAAAGGTCGAATCCTATGTGCAAATGGCGCATCTGGAGGTGGAGAATGTTCCCACTCATGATAATCTGATCTGTTTCCACCTGGACCTAACATTGGTCCAGTTGGTGGTCTACCTTGAAATCCACCATGTCCTGGACGAAAAGATGGAGAGTTGCGATTTTCCATTTCCCATGCTAAATATATAAATTTTAATATACAATTCCTTATAATACTGAAATTTTTATTTTTATTTTTATTTTATTTTATTTTGATATGTAGATTAAAAAGAATGCTCACTTGGTTCTTCCATTGAATAAAATGGCCTAAACGAAAATATGAAAATACGAAAATGTAAGAAATGTAATTTAGATCAATTGAATATTTCTTATTACCTTTCATCCATTGGCATTCCACGACCTCGTCCGACCATACCTCCGGGCATTCCTCCGGGAATTCCAGGCATACCTCTAGGCATACCGGGTACACCACCTGGCATTCCTCCAGGCATACCACCTTGCATGTTAGGGGGCATGCCTCTTGTAATCCCTGGCATACCTGGCATACCCGGTATTCCACCTGGCATTCCCCCAGGACGCATCATATTTCGCATAGGTTGACCTCTGTATGATGGATCAAACCCCATTGGACCAGTTGGTGGCATATCAGCGAAAAATGGCGGTGGTCCCATGGGGCCACCCATTTCCTAATAAAAAAAAAAAAATTATTTATTACAAAAGAACAAAAAAAAAAAACACGAATAAGTGATTTACCGGTGGAGGAAACATTCCCATTCCCATCGGATTTCCTAATTTTTTTAAAAAAAGAAAGATATATCAATTTACAAATAAACCAGTAATATAAAAGAAATGCAACGAACTATAACCTGAAAAATTTTGTGGGTATCCACCTCCTCCTTCCATGTTAAATTCCTCATTTTGATCCATCGACGGAGGTGGACTTAATTTTTTTTAAAAGGGAATTAATGGAAAGGCAATTTATGTCGCGCTTATATTTTAAATTAGATCAACTTACATTGGTTCTAATTCTTCCAATGCTGCTTCTCTTTCACTTGAGACAACTTGAATTACCGAATCATCTTGATCTCGTCCACGACGTCCTACATGTTTGAAATCTAAGAAAAATTGTTTAGACAATGTTACAATATACAATAAAAATATAGTTGAAATAATTGAATATTTACCTCGTCCACGTTGTTGCTGAAATCTACTATGGTCTTGTCCCCCCGGTTGAGGTTGACTAATCGATTGCAGTTCAGGTGGCAAATTATTCAACTCTTGTTTAGATTCGTATACCTATATTTAATAATTTACAATTAATGTTAATTTTAAAATATATGTATAAGATTAATCAAATGAAAGAAAACTTGCATGTATTTTCTTGCGTTGATGCTGATCTTCACGCATTTGTTTCTGTTTCGCACAATATGCTTTCCATGTATATTCATTGAACCCATAATTAAAATAATCGGTGATATCCGCACCTATTTATAATTAAAATTAATATTCTCGATAATAATCCACGGACTTCATTATTTGTAATTTTAAAAATTTACCCGGTTTTCTCCAAGGTTTATCTTCAAATGAGTCTAAATCAACGTCATATATACTGGTCCCATCAATTGTTCCAATAGCGTTAATATCCACACCAGGGGTGCGACTTGAAGAGGCTTGTCCACCTTCTATACTCTCCATAAAAAACGTAATATAACATGATGAACAATTAATATACAGTTAAACCAACAAATATTCGCTATGCTCACCATGTCGCGACCCAAGTTGCTTATTGAAGTTGGGCTTTATAATAAGAGAATTTCTAAATAAAAAAAAGTAACAAAATATTAGAACAAAAACGATGCTAAATATTTATATTTATTTCTTACCTTGCAGCGTTGTCTGTCGGTTTCGGCGGAGCATCCATTATAATTTCAATATCATCCTTTACAAAAAATTAAACTTATTAAACTTAGTTCATAATATATAAAAATGTGCATTATAAATTGTAATTACAGATTCATCACTATCTTCCTCCTCCTCCTCCTCCTCTTCTTCTTCATCCTCCTCCATCTTCTCTTTAACTATTTGCTCTTGTTCTTCTGATGAATCCACTAAATTTCCATTTTCTGCTGACAACTCTAATGGATCTATATCTTGATCTTCCTGGATGTCATGATTATCCTGGTCATCCTGGTCATCCTGGTTATTCTGGTTATTCTGGTTATTCTTATCGCTCTGGCTATTTTGGTTAACTTGCATTTCTTGAATATCCTGACTAGCTTGCGTGCTTTCAATATCGGGAATATTTTGTGTATTATGGACATCTTGTTTATCATGAACATCGTATGTACTCTGAGTTTTTTGATCATCATGGATGTTATAATTTTCTTCAAAGTCTTCAATTATCGGAGGGTAGTAAATATCATGGTCCTGCCCCGGTCTTCTTTTTAAATGCGAAGTTGTGTGTATAATTTATTAGATTTCAGTGATCAAGTATAATAATATGAATTCGTATAAAGAGCACCACATACATTGAGTCTACTTCTACATGTTTTATATCTTTAGAGGCTTCATTGGCATTGCTGATATCATGACTTAAAACATCAAATGATTCCAAAATATGAATTAATTTATAAAAGAGTCAACAAGTGACCTAAATTAATCAAAACATAACATACTTCGTCCCGCCACCATACATATCAAAGAAGTCGTCGTCTTATGTATAATGTACGTATTATTTCGTTGATCCAATCAAACCAAAAACATCAAAGATAAAAAGTTGACATGTAAACAAAGAAGAAAAAAACAAATTCTTTATTAGATTTTGTTATAATATACAAAATTTTTTAAGATTATAATATAAATAATTAAACTTAATTAAACAAATATAAAAAGAATAAACTATGAATATACTATATAAGTTGAACCGGGTTGGTTCTATCGTACCTTCTACAACGACTTCTTTTATATTATTTTTAGAATACCCCTCTATTAAACACCAATACAAAAAAATTAGCATCCAACGAATTTTAAAGAAAAATTTCTAGCTGACCTTATACATCAGCATTCAAAACAGCTTCCAAATTATAAAATTATATTATTGCAAATGAAATAAAAGTAGAAGAACAATTTTCTGAAATCAACATTATCTCACCCTCTATTGCTGTTTGTGGTTCAACAGTTTGCTCGTCGATCCCACCATATAAAAATTCATCGTCGTTGTCGAAATCGGTGTAATCTGTCATCTCGAGCTATAACTATGTTTTTATTAAATTGATCGAAATCTCAAGAATATTAAAGACTGCGTCTACGTGAAAATTCCCATCATGTGATTTATACAATTACTATTTATATTCGCAAATCAAAAATCATCAGTTTTATAGTACTTAGATCTAGAAAATTTATTTTTCCACTGCTGCTGTATAATAAAAAAAAATCAAATGACGAAATCAATGTTTAATAAATTCGACCAGTATTATCAAAGAAATTTTGAATTGATTGTCATGTAACATATAATTAGCATATAACAGATAATAGCAATTATAATTTTGGGGGATTTACTACAAAATCCTAACAAACTTGATACTGCAATCCTGGCAAATCATAATTCTAAAACTTCAAAATCCTATAATTGTATTATTTCCAACATTTATTATCCTAATATTTATTATTTAGACTTTACCACTCTGATATACTATTCTTTTTTTCAAAAAATTGATAAAGACTTGAATGATATTAACAAACCTATGATTTTAGCTAAAATTTAATTGATGTTAAGAAACTAGGAATAGTCTAATAATGTTTAAAAGGATACTTTTGAAGGGTCTTGATTTTAGAAGTGTAGATATTTTATTATTAGGTTTTATTGTTAACTGTTTATTTTTTTATTATATTTATTTTTTGTTTTCCTTTTTTTTTAATACTCAAATTCAAAATATTATAAATTATATAAATGATTAAATTAAAAACTATTACCAATGCTAATAATGAGAATTATGTAAACTTCAGTAAAAACAATTTCATTAGTCACATTTCAAACAAGTAGAACTAATTCAACTTATAATCACACTTATTTTACAATAAGATATTGGATCAATATCCTAATTTATATTGAGAATTTAGTAGTAAAAATTTTAATTATTATAGAATTACTAATAAGACATTATACTTATTATGCAAATTAGATCATAAAAGTATAAAAGGTAGTAAATGTAAATAGCATGAAATTAAAATAACTATATACAGTCAAACCTTGATATAGCAAACCCTTGATATAGTGAATTTTTCAGACAACTATAATAAATTTCCCCTTGCTATAACAAATTAACCAATCAAATCTCTTAAAATCTTCACTATAGCGAAGTTGGGGTCTGAAACCTAAGGGTTCGTTATAACAAGAGTTGACTGTAGTCTGGTAAAGGCTATAAAGTACCTATAATAAGAAAACTATTAGTACTACAGTCAACTCCCTCTATAGTCACTCCCGTTATAGTCACATTACTATATAGTCACACCAGTTAAATGTTCAAAACACTTTATTATTAAAATCTATCCTATATAGTCACAATCTATCTATAGTCACTATCACACCTATCCTCAAAAATCTTATATTAAAAAGAACCGTTTATAATCACAGTTATATAAAGAATATATTAAATAACTTGGCATCTAATAATCGTACAAAGATGTATCATAGCTT